ACAACACACATCATCTCAGGTAAGAAGAGATAGAGAACATCTTTGAATTTTCGTATTTTGTCATAGCTTCTCTTGTTTGTACTGTATGTTTGAAATTCCTCCCTCATTGTTTATTTTTGTTAAAGAGTATGTTTAGAAACAATAGCATTCAAGAATAGAGAAGGAAATACATAAGCATAATTATGGTGGGAATGCCAAGATAACACAGATTGCTGATTCATTCAGGAAAGTTGATTTCACTTTCTGTTTGTTCCCAGGCATGGCATCAGCTAGCAATCCCCAGTCTGAAATGCAGTTAGTTTGCTATATCTGTGAGGAGGTGTTCAAGAAACCAGTCACAACCCCATGTGGGCACAACTTCTGCATGGATTGTATCAGCAAATACTGGAGAATCAATGTCCTGTGCCAGTGTCCACTGTGCATGGAGAAATTCCCTAAAAGATCAGAGCTAAAAGTCAATACTCAATTATCTAAAATTGTTGCAGAGTTCTGGGATCCATTTCTAGGAAATGACACAAGCCCCCAGGACCAATGCCTGGACCAATCTAGAGAGGTGTCCCATGATGTCTTTGTTGGGAGGGAGGTCAAGGCTGTCAATTCTTCTTTTGAGGCCTCTTACTGTGAGACTCCCCTGGAGCCCAATCAGAGAGTCGCAACCTTGAGGAGACAACAGCATGTAGAGAATCTTGAAGAACAAATGTGTGAAAGGCTTGGGAGATGTCTGGAGTTCAAGACCGACTACAATACCCACAGCACTGTCCCTCTTCAAGTGGAAACCAGAAAGAATAAGGTTCAGCTGGGAGTGCAGCAGATGATTCAGAGCAGACAGCAGAAAGTTATTGAGATCAGAAATACACTACAATCTAGCAGAATAAATGCAGAGCAAGAGGTAGAGAACAGTTGTCAGATCTTTAGAGCTTTAATACGCTCCATTGAAAGAAGCCAGGCTGAGCTCATTGAGGTGATTTTGGAAAAGCAAAAGGAAGCCGAAAGGCTGGCTGAAAGGCTCATTACAGGGCTGGAGCAGGAAATCACTGACCTAAAACTCCTCCAGAGCTCACCATCCCTGTGCACCTCTCCACCCACCAAGGACTGGTCTGAGATCAGGTTTCAGAGTGTTGAGTATGTCGGGACGGTGAGGAAAGCTGTGAAGAGAGCTGGCTCTCAGTTCGAAGACACACTGAAGAGTGAATTGAAGAGGTTGTGTGAGGCTGAGCTCAAGGTTATTCAGCAGTGGTCAGTGGATGTAACTCTGGACCCTGATACAGCTCATCCCAATCTCACTCTCTCTGAAGATGTGAAACAACTTAGACATCCCGGTAGACGACAAAACTACCCTGGCAATCCAGAGAGGTTCTTCTACATTGCCAGCGTCCTGGGAAAGGAGGGCTTCTCCTCAGGGAGATTCTACTATGAGGTGCAGGTGAAGGGAAATACTCTCTGGAGTGTAGGAGTGGCCAGAGAGTCCATTAACAGAAAGATTCATGCAGCAAAGCCTGAGAATGGACTCTGGACTATCCAGCTGGGGAAAGGGAACATCTACAAGGCCTGCACCACTGACCCTACCCCCCTCTCCCTGAGTGAGAAGCCCCAGAAGGTGGGGGTCTATGTGGACTATGAAGACGGTGAGGTCTCCTTGTACAATGCCCAGGCCAGGTCTCATATCTACTCATTCACTGATTGTTCCTTCACTGAGAAACTTTACCCATACTTCAACCTTGGTGTTTGTGGCATTGACAAAATGTCAGCACCTTTGATCATCTCTCATGTGAGCAAATCAGATTGAGATTTCACTCGTATCGTTGACATTCTAAAGAAAACACAACATTCCATGTATTGATTTATATTGAATATTTAGAGAGGTATATATTGTATCTTGCCAGGAAATCTAGAATCACATTTGCTGGGCTGTATTGTGATGTCCTTCACGATTGTATGATGACATACTGAAAATGTAGCTCCTTACTAATCCTGCCCCAATATGTCTCTGTATCTAATTTATGTGAAAATATTAAATTGAATCCTCTTTGCATTAAAATGATCTGAAATGTGCACACTGCTTTTCAATGGCTTTGTTATTTGATCAGGTCCTCAGTAAATCTTCTGGGCTACAACACAATAACAGCTTTGTGAACTCCTACATAATATGAACAGGAAGTGTGAATGTATTAGAATACATGGCAACCATAATACATGGTTCAGCTGAGAGAGTCCTGTCATGTTAAGGGTTAATTCAGCCATGTACTGTACCTTTAAGAGCAGCTGCATTTTAACTTAGCAGTAAGGGACCTGGACAAGCCATGGTAATGTCACGTTGTAAAGTGAGACTAAACTAGAGAACTTTGTGCTTTAGCATAACAAAATTCCCTCACAAATCTCTCAACACAGCCTAATAAGGTACAAAATATACCGTCTTTGACATTGCTGTTCTTCTGAATACACACAGAGGTGAGTGGAGGGTCTTTCATTTGTGCTGTGTTGTCTGTTGTATGCTATGTTAGGTTGTTTATTCAAGTTTCAATACCTGTCCCAGCCCAGTTATAAATATAATCAAGGGGAAAAATACAGTTATATTGTGTTTTTGTATTGTATGACATTACATTTACTGTGTTATACTGTAGACTTGATTTAGATTGAATTTGACAGGTGGGGACGTCATCACTGTCCCCTTTAATTTATTTGTCTGTTAGGCTGTATTAGACTTCTCATCATATGTTAATAAATGTATATTTCTGAATGAAATATAAAATCATATGATTGGTACCACTGGTTACATGTATTGAGAAAGCTAGTTGGGTGTCCTGTAACTACATAGAGCTTGGTGGTATACTGTAAGCTAGAAAAAAACATTCCAGTAAAGAAATTCCAGTGTGGAGAGCCAACTGATTCCATAAAGTCGCATGTGGTTTATTTTTGGATCTCTTCCCAGACCCGGACATGGCTTCTGCCAGCAGCCTGCTGTCCGAGGAACAGTTCCTGTGCCCCATCTGTCTAGACGTGTTCACCAGCCCAATCACCACCCCGTGTGGACACAACTTCTGCAAGGACTGCATACATGGGTACTGGCATACCACCAGCCCATGCCAGTGTCCCATGTGTAAGCAGAAATTCGGCAGAAGACCTGAGCTCAAAGTCAATACTTTCATAGCTGAGATGGCCGATCAGTTCAGAAGGTCAGTTGAAATTAGGGCTACTGCTACTAGTACCCAGGACCAACCCTTGGCCCAAGCCCAACCCCAAGCAGCCCAACCTGGAGAAGTGCCCTGTGACGTCTGCACTGGGAGGAAAGTCAAGGCCTTGAAGTCCTGCCTGGAGTGCCTGGCCTCTTACTGTGAGACTCACCTGGAGCCTCACCAGATACTGGCCACCTTCAAGAAACACAATCTGATTGAGCCTGTGATTAACATGGAGGACAGAGTGTGTAAGCGGCACCAGAAGCTTCTGGAGCTGTTCTGTAGAAGTGACCAGACGTACGTGTGTCAGGTCTGCACTGAGAAAAGACACAAGAAACACAATGTTGTCCCTTTGGAGGAAGAAAGCAGAGAGAGGAGGGCTCAGCTGGGGAATATGGAAGATGTAATGCAGCAGATGATTCATGGTCGACTGCAGAAAGTGAAGGAGGTCAAACACACAGTACAATCAGGCAGAATAAATGCAGAGAGAGAGATTAGAGAGAGCTTGCAGGTCTTCACTGCTCTGATGCACTCCATTCAGAGAAGCCAGGCTGAGCTCATTGAGGTGATTGAGGAAAAGCAGAAAGCAGCAGAGAGGCGGGCTGAGGGGCTCATTAAAGAGCTGGAGCAGGAAATCACAGAGCTAAAGAGGAGAAACACTGAGGTGAAGCAGCTCTCACGCACTGAGGACCACCTCCACCTCATCCATAGCTTCCCATCCCTGTTCAACCCTCCACCCGCCAAGGACTTGTCCGAAATCAGTGTTCAAAGTGTTGTGTACGTAGGAACAGTGAGGAGAGCTGTGAGGAGAGCTGGATCCCAGTTTGAGGAGACACTGAAGAATGAAGTGAAAAGATTATGTGAAACAGAACTTACAAGAACTCAGCAGTGTGCCGTGGATGTGACCCTTGACCCTGATACAGCTCACCCCAAACTTATCCTCTCTGACAACGGTAAACAAGTGGCCCACGGCAACACAGCGCTGAACCTCCCTGACAACCCAGAGAGGTTTTACCCTGGTATCAGTGTCCTGGGGAGGGAGGGCTTCTCCTCAGGGAGGTTCTACTACGAGGTGCAGGTGAAGGGGAAGACAGAGTGGGACATAGGAGTGGGGAGAGAGTCTGTCAACAAGAAAGGAGGGAATACCCTAAACCCTGAGCATGGCTACTGGACAGTAGGCCTGAGGAACAGGACTGAGTACTGGGCTCTCACGACCCCCCCTGTCCCCCTGCCACTGGTCGAGAAGCCCCAGAGGGTTGGGGTGTACGTGGACTGGGAAGGGGGGCAGGTGTCCTTTTACGATGTGGATTCCAGGTCTCATATCTACTCATTCACCGGTTACATCTTCGCAGAGAGACTCTATGCATACTTCAACCCCCGAAAGAATAACGGTGGGGTCAACTCAGCACCATTGGTGATCTGCCCTGTCAGTGACCTCACCACCTCACGTTAACCTTTCACCTTTCACCTCTTCTCAGAAGAGGACACTGAGTGTTGTGTCAGTTTTATTTGTTATAGAAGCTTGTGCCATATATATTTTCTCTATCTCATGTATTGTGTGGTTGATTTAATAAAGATATAATTAATTTATAACCTTTATTTAACTAGGCAAGTCAGTTAAGAACAAATTCTTATTTACAATGACGGCCTACACCGGCCAAACCCAGACGACGCTGGGCCAATTGTGCGCCGCCCTATGGGACTCCCAATCACGGCCGGTTGTGATACAGCCTGGAATCGAACCAGGGGGTCTGTAGTGACGTCTCAAGTACTGAGATGCAGTGCCTTAGACCACGGCGCCACTCGGGAGCCCAATATTAATAAATAATATTAATAAAGGTTAATAAAAGTTGTCTGTTTTCTGTGCCTTGGGCTTGCAAATCTTTATGCAATATATTTATGAGGTGATACAAAGAAACACTATGCAGACCAGGTTGAAGGTTTTGGGCATACTACACTAAAACACATACAACTCTTAATACTCTTAATATCATCAACACGTACACAAACACACAAACACAAAGTTACTATGTTTACTCAAGTGTTTCCCATTAGTGTAGAGATTCTAATTGATATGTGATTGACATCTACTGTAGATGGGAGTGGAGCTGCAGAGGCGGTCTCTCTCTCCAGTGCTCTGTGCAGTGGTCTGGACCATGCTCTCCTGTGGCATCCTGCTGGCATTCTGCTTCCTGCTCTTTACCCTGCGCTTCAAGAACAACAGGTACACACACATACACTTACAGTGCCTTCGTAAAGTATTCAACTCCCTTGACTTTTTCCAAATTTTGTTGCGTTACAAAGTGGGATTATAATGGATTTAATTGTATTTTTTTTATCAACGATCTACACAAAATACTTTATACTCTATAATGTCAACCAAAAAAATCTAAAACACTAATATACTGTATCTTGATTATTGTATTCAACCCCCTGAGTCAAAACATATTAGAATCACCTTTGGCAGCAATTACAGCTGTGAGTCTTTTGGGGTAAGTCTCTTAGAGCTTTGCACACCTGGATTGTACAATATTTGCCTATCATTCTTGAAAAGATTATTCAAGCTCTGTCAAGTTAGTTGTTGATCATTGCTAGACAGACATTTTCAAGTCTTCCCATAGATTTTCAAGCCAATTTAAGTCAAAACTGTAACTAGGAACATTCAATGTCGTCTTGGTAAGCAAATCCAATGTAGATTTGGCCTAGGTTATTGTCCTGCTGAAAAGTGAATTCGTCTTCCAGTGTCCGTTGGAAAGCAGACTGAACCAGGTTTTCCTCTATGATTTTGCCTGTGCTTAGCTCTATTTCATTTATTTTTATCCCAAAAAACTCCCTAGTCCTTGCTGATGACAAGCATACCCATAATATGAAGAGTGGTAGTGATGTGTTTTGTTAGATTTGCAGCAGTTATTTTGTACAGCAGGCGTCCCCAATTACATTCAACCGTGGGCTGATTTTTGTGGATGGTAGGGGGGCCAGAACATAGTAAAAAATAATTTGTACACTGCAAATTGACTGCAAGAATCCCAAACAGACAGTATTCAACAAAAACAGAATCATTTCAAACCTTGATTAAATTGGGATATGATCACATACACTACCGTTCAAAAGTTTGGGGTCACGTAGAAATGTCCTTGTTTTCCATGAAAACATACATGAAATTAGTTTGAATAGGAAATATACCAAAATGAATAGGAAATGTAGTCATTGACAAGGTTAGAAATAATGATTTTTAATTGAAATAATAATTGTGTCCTTCAAACTTTGCTTTCGTCAAAGAATCCTCCATTTGCAGCAATTACAGCCTTGCAGATCTTTTACATTCTAGTTGTCAATTTGTTGAGGTAATCTGAAGAGATTTCACCCCATGCTTCCTGAAGCACCTCCCACAAGTTGGATTGGCTTGATGGGCACTTCTTGCGTACCATACGGTCAAGCTGCTCCCACAACAGCTCAATAGGGTTTAGATCCGGTGACTGTGCTGGCCACAGCTGACTGCTTCTTCCCTAAATAGTTATTGCATAGTTTGGAGCTGTACTTTTAGTCATTGTCCTGTTGTAGGAGGTAATTGGCTCCAATCAAGCGCTGTCCACAGGGTATGGCATGGCGTTGCAAAATGGAGTGATAGCCTTCCTTCTTCAAGATCCCTTTTACCCTGTACAAATCTCCCACTTTACCACCACCAAAGCACCCCCAGACCATCACATTGCCTCCACCATGCTTGACAGATGGCATCAAGCACTCCTCCAGCATCTTTTCATTTGGTCTGCGTCTCACAAATGTTATTCTTTGTGAGCCGAACACCTCAAACTTAAATTCGTCTGTCCATAACACTTTTTCCCAATCTTCCTCTTTCCAGTGTCTGTTTTCTTTTGCCCATCTTAATCTTTTCTTTTTATTGGCCAGTCTGAGATATGGCTTTTTCTTTGCAACTCTGCCTAGAAGGTCAGCATCCCGGAGTCGCCACTTCTCTGTTGACGTTGAGACTGGTGTTTTGCGGGTACTATTTAATGAAGCTGCCAGTTGAGGACCTGTGAGGAGTCTGTTTCTCAAACAATTTCTCGCATGGAATTGCCTTCATTTCTCAGAACAAGAGTAGACTGACGCGTTTCAGAAGAAAGTTATTTGTTTCTGGCCATTTTGCGCCTGTAATCGAACCCACAATTGCTGATGCTCCAGATACTCAACTAGTCTAAAGAAGGCCAGTTTTATTGCTTCTTTAAACAGCACAACAGTTTTCAACTGTGCTAACATAATTGCAAAAGGGTTTTCTAATGATCAATTAGCCTTTTAAAATGATAAACTTGGATTAGCAAACACAACGTGCCATTGGAACACAGGACTGATGGTTGCTGATAATGGGCCTCTGTACACCTATTGTCACGTCTCCTCCCGTTGCTCCCCTCCGGCGCTCTGATTCGCCGGTCTACTGAGCCACCGGTCTGAGCACACCACCTTGGCAACACCGGAATGGAAACCCAACGCACCCTAATCACCTCCAGCGCACCTGCACCTCATCATCTCATCACCACCCCATATAGCCCTGGACTGTTCAGTGTTGTGTTGTGTGTGATTGTTAGTGTCATGTCGTGTACTTGCTCTTTGTTGTTCTCTTGCTCAGTGTTAAGTAAACCTTTTACATTGTTGATTCCTGCGTCTGCATCCTACCTCTTCGTATCCTCAGTACTCGTCACACCTATGTAGATATTCCATAAAAAATCAGCCGTTTCCAGCTTCAAAAACCATTTACAACATCAAGGTAATGTTATTTTAATGGACCCAAAAATTGCTTTTCTTTCGAAAACAAGGACATTTCTAGGTGACCCCAAACTTTTGAACGGTAGTGTATGTCTCTCTATTTATGCGTGGGAATACTTGGTAACAGATATCCTAAATTAAAATCACTTTGAGCTGATTTCCTGGTAATATATATATATAAAATAATTTACTCAAAACTTTGTGGGCCAAATAAAATCCCCTGATGGCCGAATTTGGCCTTTGGGCTGCCTATTGGGAACCCTGCTGTACAGGCTTCCTTCTTTTCACACTGTCATTCAGCTTTTCATGTTTAATTAATTGTTTAATGTCTAAAAACAAAATTCCACTTTGACATTATGGGGTATTGTGTGTAGATTAGTGACACAAAATATGAATTTAAAATTCAGGCTGTAACACAACAAAATGTGGAAAAAGTCAATACTTTGAATACTTTCTGAAGGCACTGTAAAAGCATATGCACATGCTCAAATCGATGCGCAGACGTGAACAGTCTAAGCTTTGTGTTTGTTCCTCTCTCAGGATAGTGAAGATGTCTAGTCCTAACCTCAATGTGCTGACTCTGTGTGGGAGTGTCCTCACCTACAGCAGTGGATTCCTATTCGCTTTTGAGGAACGCACCTACCTACAAGGGGGAGGAGCGAGAGCTATACTACAGGTAAGAACATACACACACACACGTTGCTCTGATGATGCCATGCTGTGTGATATTATGGGAAGTCCTGATGTTATTGTGGTGTATCCTAGGCCAGGATCTGGATGTTTTGTATCGGCAGCACTCTGGTATTTGGGCCCATCCTGGGGAAAACATGGCGGCTCTACAGAGTATTCACCCAACGCGTGCCTGACAAGAGAGTGGTAAGCAGGCTGCTGCTCTCACTGTCTCTCTGGTCGAAGTCTGTAGTAGAGTGGGTGTATTGCACAGTGTATTACTGAACTCTGTGTGTGTTTCAGATCATCAGAGACATCCAGTTGATGGGCTTGGTAGCTCTGTTGATTCTGATGGACCTGCTGGTTCTGACCGCCTGGAGTCTAACCGACCCGGTCAAATGTGCACGGTCCATTGGGGCTATGGTCAAGGTGGTGGAGAGGGAATTGTCCTACTCTCTGTCTCAGCTGGACTCCTGTTCCTCTCTCTATTCAGACCTGTGGGTTATCCTCCTCGCTCTGATGAAGGTAAAACATACAACTGGGAGAAATGCTCAGATAAACATAAGAGAGCACATCATTTTATGCCTGGTATGGCAACTGCTCGGACTCCGACCGCAAGGCACTACAAAGGGTAGTGCGTACGGCCCAGTACATCACTGGGGCCAAGCTTCCTGCCATCCCGGACCTCTATACCAGGCGGTGTCAGAGGAAGGCCCTAAAAATTGTCAAAGACTCCAGCCACCATAGTCATAGACTGTATTCTCTGCTACCGCACGGCAAGCGGTACCAGAGCGCCAAGTCTACCCCCAAACCATAAGAGTCCTGAACAGCTAATCATGGCTATCCGGACTATTTGCATTGATCCCCACCCTACCCCACCCGCTCTTTTACGCTGCTGCTACTCTCTGTTTATTATCTATGCATAGTCACTTTAACTCTACCCACATGTACATATTACCTCGACTAACCTGTGCCCCCGCACATTGTCTCTGTACCGGTACCCCCTGTATATAGCCTCCCTACTGTTATTTTATTTGACTGCTACTCTTTAATTTAAAAAATGTATTTTCTACTTATCTACTTTTTTTACTTAACGCTTATTTTTCTTAACTACATTGTTGGTTAAGGGCTTGTAAGTAAGCATTTCACTGTAAGGTCTACACCTGTTGTATTCGGCGCATGTGGCAAATAAAATTTGATTTGATTTAATAGCTGTTTCCCCTGAGTTTGTGTTGGTTTGTCATAGTAAACATGTCATGAACGTTATGTGGTTATGTTGCTGTCTCTCCAGGGTAGCATGCTCCTGTATGGGACCTACCTGGCCGGTCTGACCAGCAACGTCAGCCTCCCTCCGGTCAACCAGTCCCCCACCATCATGACCGCGGTCAGCCTGGTCACCCTTTCCACGGCGGTTGCAGTCCCTGTGTCGCGGTTCCTGCAGGCCTGGCCTAACGTGGTCTATAGCGTGGTGGCTGGAGCCATCTTCATCTGTACCCTTGCCACCAACTGTATGCTGTTTGTACCTCAGGTGAGAGAGACAGTTAGCGCACATCACAAACAGACGGACAGACAGAAACCCCTGTAATTTATGACAGGCCCAATTCGAGTGGCTACATGGTTGTTTCCCATACCTTACCGTAGTGTGTGTGTGTGTGTGTGTGTGTTAACAAGGTTGTGCGGCTCATACAAACACACACATTGCTCCATGAGTCAACATGCTGCAGCCTCTGCCAACGAGTTAATGACTCCCCATAAGTAACTGGTGGTGAGCTGATGCTATGATACAGGAATGCATCCTGGATGGAAAGAAAGGAGGCACTTGAACAATGAGCAACACACACACCTGGAGATTCAAGGGTATGCTCAAAGACTGGCACATTTGTCTGACAGTTATCTGACTATCCATCATAATCCCCCTCTTCCTCTCCCCTCTTTCCCCTTTCCACCCCTCTTGCTCCCCTCTTCCCAGTTAACCCAGTGGCGTCGGTTTGAGGAGGAGCACAACAACCTTAGCCAGATGGCGAAGTACTTCAGGAGCCCCAGTAAGAGTGTCCACTCTGTCTACAGCCAGGATGAAGTCTACTATCTACTGGGGGAGAACAACTCTATGAAGAGGCTCCTCAATGAGGTAGTCAGTGTGGAGGCTATGTATTATTTTAACCCTCACTCGCCCCCTAATGGTTATAAAAGGTAGTGAAATACTATCCTTACTGACTAAAATGGTCCTACATGGTCCTGTACTCAGAATAATCTCTGTGACCCCTCAACACTATAATATATACCTAAACTTGTTTACTTTGTATTCTGAATACCCTTCTACTCATCACTAACTTCACCTATAACCTTTAACCCGACACCAATCTTTAGGTTAACCTTTAACCTGACTCTTGTTGTTGATGTTTTTGGTTTTGAAGGGGATTTTAAAGTTTGTTGTTGTTATTTTGGCAGAAGAATGCTGTGATTGATAGTCTGCAAGAGCAGGTGAACAATGCCAAAGACAAGCTACTGCGCCTCATGTCCATTACCCACCCCCGCGAGGACCAGGAAATGGACTCTTCCACCACCAACCTCCACTCCTCCTCCACCCAGACCACAGTGGTGCAGTCCGACTGCTCTCCAACTCCCCTGCCACACAGGGACGTAGCAGAACCTACCCTCTCTTCTCCTCCCTTCTCGCCACCTCCTCTGTCTGCTCCTCCCACTACATCTGCTCTCTGTAAACCTCCTTCTGAATCACCCTCTGCTCCTCTCTCTACTCCTCCCCCTCCTGCCTTATCTCTTCCCCCAGGGGATTGTGTGAGTGTTAAACCGTGGAGTGTAGAGTTTGGCCCATACATCCAGGGTGCAGGGATAAAGACAGAGGCAGGGGGGTGTAAGGTTGAGGGGACTGGGTCCCAGCAGCAGTATGGAGGGGAAAGGTCTCACCTCCCAGTCTCCCCTCAGCCCTCTGTTTCTTCCAAGACAGGAGTCAGAACACCAGGGGAGATGGCAGGGACACAAACCACACCCTCCTGTCAGTCAAACAATGTCACTTCCTCTTCCCATCTCTCCCCGGTGGGTTTGGCCCCTGTTCAGTCGGGACCCTCGGGTTGGCATGGCGGTACCGCTTCGCCGTGGATGGCAGGCGGCAGGCAGGCAGGGTTTGTGAGCAGTGAGCAGCTGCAGGAGATACTCCAGGAACTGAGCGTGGACGCTGTCATGGAAATGGCCCTCCGCTCGCCCAATCACAGCAGGGGGGTCAGGAGACCCTCTCAGCCCTCCTCGACCGATCCCTCTGTCCTCTCTCCTCTCTCCCTCTGCACTCCGCGTTCCCCCAATCCCCCTCTCCTCTTCCACTACCCCAGTATCTCCCCCTACGTGATGAGGAAACGCAGACCTCCATTCCATTCCCCCAGAGGGGGGCCTCCGCCCTGTTACTACCCAGGCTCCGAGCCTCCTGGCTGGGGAAGGAGGAGGGACGTGTGGCCCTCACAACCAGACAAGCACCCCTCAAAAACACAACCTCCTCTTGATCCTGTCGCCACAGAGACCAATCCTCTCCGCCCCGACGAAAGTAATGGAGAAGAAGGGGAAGAGGCGTGGCATAGGGTAACAAACAGGTGCGGGAGGCGTGGCTCAAGGCGGGAGCACCGGCCACCACCCCCTCGAAAATGCCCTCCAGACGGTGAGAGGGGTGGTGAGGGAGGGCCAGACAGAGACCGTAGCAGGGACTCGTATGGTTACTGGGACTCAGACTCCAGCAGCTCGGCTGACTACTGCTACTACCATCGTCCCTACTGCGACGCCTGCTTGCAACACAACTCCTACCCCTCCAACGACAGCTCCTCCTCAGACTCCTCGGACAGTGAGTATGGCGGCTTCACCAGCCTCTGCCGCTCCACACACCCGGTGGTCAACTTCAAGGAGGACCTCAAACCCACCTTCGTATGAGCCTGTCTGGAACCTAGACTGAACCGGTGCTGCGGAAGAATCATTCAAGTCAAACTGTGTTGTAATTTACTTTCAATGGCCAGTTCACGGCAGAACAATTGAGTTTACACACTGTTGTAACACTATTGAGAAGTGGTAAATTGAGCGTGAACTAATGTAAATGCTTGAAAAGCTTGCCTTGTACCCATCCAAGATGGCTAATTGGAAGGCAAAACATCTGATTTTGCATTCAATGGTAATGTATCTTCCTTATCTATGTGTGGAGTACGAGTACCCTAGCAACACATTACCTCACAGCATTCACATTACAGGCTTTTTAATTGGTTGCAAGTGCTTTAGAAATAGGACCAAGATGGAGTGTGTTGTTCAATGGGTCGAGTTTGCTGTATGATGTTTGGGATCTGATTTTAATTTATTGACTTTGTCTTTAACGTATTGCACTGACTGCCATTGTCTCTATGTCATGTTAAATAAAATATATATTTGTAGCTAAATAACATATAATATAGATTGTTGCATGTTACAAAAAAAGCACTGGATTTTATTGATCTGTTACCACCTCTTTTAATCCCCCATACCTTGTATGCATTTAATAGAGCCCCCCAGGGATGGAGTGCAGGTTCACCATGGTAAAGAATATTATTGTAACCAATTTGAATGAGTTTTTATGATTTTGTTTACCTTTTTATACATCAAAATCCCTCAATGCACTATGTTGGTATTGTTATTGATTTGAGTGAGTGTGTGTGTGTGAGCGTGTGCGTGTGTGTGGCGTGGGTGTGTGTGCATGTCTGTGTGCACAATGTACTGTATTCATTGCATTTTAATTGGAAGCTCTGCCTCCAATTCTATCAATTGTAATTCTCTGTGAGCTGATTAATTATTATATGACCTATTGGCCTTTGCCCTCCGGTCCCCTCTGGTCCCAATTCACCCAGTCTGCCTGTAGATTGCTTCTGTCTCCCTCTTCTGGCTCTCAATGCTTCTCATAAGAGGATGCAACTCTATTCATTTTCAGAATGAATGAGTTTACATAAATTGATTATTTCTCTGGTGTTAATGATACAGTATGTAACGAAGACGCAGGGAGTCAGGAAGCAGGTGCAGTTGGTGAGTTTAATAGGAACGAACATAGAGTGAATACAAAAACAGGAGTAGCGTTTGAACATGAAAACAGAAACAATACTGCCTGATAGGTGATAAAACTGAGTGCTAGATAAAGGGGAAGTAATCAGGGTAGTGATGAAGTCCAGGAGTGCCTAATGATGGGGCGCAGGTGTGCGTAATGATGGTTTGCCAGGACCGGTGGTTAGTAGACTGGCGACGTTGAGCACCGGAGCGGGGGAGCGGGGGAGCGGGAGTAGACGTGACACAGTAACTGCACAGTATAAAAGCTGATTTGCTAATGTGTGCTGTACCTTATAGCCTTTTATAAGCGCTCTAAACTCATCAGTCCAATGCTAAACACTGAACATGCCACCATAAGACTGTTCCCTGTTGGATTATTTTGCACTGAACTAGTTCATGAGACCATTAAGAATTCATAAATAGCATTATTTATGTTGCATAATTCCCTTTTAGCACCAACCTGAGATAGACAAAAGAAGAACAAGACATTTTGAGAAACAGTGCTCGCTTAAAGAGAAAGCAGCATTATTTCTGCACTACTGCCTCTGTTTCTGATGCTGCTCTTCTTTATCCTGCGTCATCACTGCTGAAAGACCACCCGGGGAAAAAAATTAACTCCCTTTGATACAGCATCCTCAGATGAACATAAAATACATAAAAGGGTACAAATAAACAGCACAAAAGCCCCTTCTTAGACAGCAGATTCTGCTGTGGAGCAACCATCAAGGATTACTAATTTATATCCTTCAAGACGGTTTTATGTTCAAGATGCACATTGTGTGTGGTAGTGGTGTCTGTCCTTTGCAGAACTCCCCACATATATGAATGACATTGTGTTTATTTAATACTTGTAAATATTATTGTAACGTCTTTAACCGAACATTGAGTGACTTGCCATGAGATACGGACCTCTTGGTGTAATGGTTAAAAATACTATATAAGGTGTTATTGCATAACACCAATGGTGTAAACTATATACACTTCCTAGTGTTAAAAATACTATATGAGGTGTTATTGCATAACACTGAAGGAAATGCATTTGTTCTGGGAATGGCTTCAGAGTGTTTGAACGCAATAAGCATGATGTGGCTTCAAACAGGTCTATTATGTATAATAGTGTACCAATCACGGTGAACTGGGTTCTACAGCCTTAATGAGCATAAGCATAATGTATGTGTGTGTGTGGCTTCACATACTGTAGGCCTACTAATGTAATGACATTGTAATGACATAATAATAGACAATGATCCCTTACCCTCCGACCACACACACACACACACACAATGACAAACATTCTGTGTGGAAATCAATACCCACAGCTGGAAAATCTGCACACCCAGTCAGAGCGAGATGCAGAGAGGGAGGGAGATACAGTGTGTGTGTGTGTGTTTGTGTGTGTGTGTTTCAGCAGGTGGCCCAGTCAGACCCAGAGCAGGTCTAATTGCTGAGTGTGAGTGTTGTATTTTATTGGGGTAAAAGACCATCGCTGCAGGGCTGCTGCCGCTGGCATAATTACTGCTGTTTAATCTTTCCTCTGGCAGGCACACGCACACACACATTAGAGAAAGGTTTTAGTATCAACTGAGAGTAAACCACTCTCATTTGACGGTCATGGGTTGCGTTTAAAAAGTATCAGTAGTCGTCTGCCTCATGCTATTGGGTAGATTACAAGAGCTGACATAGCAACAGTGAGGGAGTTATTTTACGCTGGCCCAACCAGTCACGTTATCGGGCGAAAGCGGGGAGGATGGAGCGCATTTCTCAAATCCAAAAGTAATCCTGCACTGCTCGGTCATTTAGTCAGCAATGCAGCATGGTGCATCCTCCAGAAACATAACACATATGTTTTCCATCAAATAAATGTTAGATTTTTTAACTAGTTTTCATTGGGAAGGCAGATAAAGTGTTTTAATCAAACGCATTCACTTTTGCATGGGAAAACACAGAATCCTACTCATTACTACATGTGCTTGATTACATCACTTTTTGACCCGACTTCGCTGTTGGACTGAGCGGGGCATCTCGCTCACGCCCGGGAGGCAGCCCGGTTCCAAATCAAATGCAATCAACTTTCAGCGGTGCACGCCTTCACGGGCGTCTGGGCGAGATTAATTGAATCCCCGCATTGCTACTTGGCCACCGGAGCCTTGTCGGTAGCAGCTGTTTAGCCATTGGTTCAAGTAGTGTGTCCCTGATTTGGATTGGCTGAGACTGATATCCATCCCTCTGACTACCCCGCCCATTGGCCATAAACCACGGACACGAGCCGCGGAACACCAGGGGCGGTGTCAGGTACATTATGCCATGTGTTCTATAAGAACAGCGTACTTATTGGTCTACGGTACGGGATATCTGCCCATCGCCAAGGGATACGCTTCGTATTGGCTGAATCGGCTACCCCAGATTCACACTTACGCGTGCACAATTCTCAGATTCTCTACAGTGGTTTATTGGCGTAACCCTGTCGCCACGCGCATATACACATAAAAGCAAGGCTCACAATTTACGCAAATAGCGTTACAAAGGTCCGTAGTGACAAAGACAGCGAGGCCGAAACTGAATAAAGAATAATTTCAGAATCGTCGGGGCTGGCTTGGACTGACACTTCCTGAGGAACGAAGCGCACAGGGTTTCCTCAAGACCCGATACTAGAAGACCCGTATTTGGACGTTGCCGTGTGTGTAGTTGGGACGAATTTGAAGGGCCGTAGAAATCGTTCACGTATTGATTGGGCAACTGGCAGACTTTTCCGTTTCAATCGACGGTAGGGTAGGAGAGCGAGCTAGGGAGCAGCCATGGCCGTCGGGTCATTGAGTCTTCACATCGGAATATAAAGAGTAACTGCATGGCCCAGGATCTATAGGAATCAACAGCAACCATTCCCCATGTCTGATCGTCTCATTTGTGTCATTTTGTGTTCAACTGTGACCAAGTTAGGGAAATCAAACCAGCAGTGCAGTGGGTTTATTCGGAGGCCAGCTTCATGACTATTTTAGTTGAAGACGTGTCTCCAAGGCCTAACAACTGAAGGAAAACGAGGGCTCAAATGGAAAAAGGATGTTTTGAATGACTGTTAGTGGACGAGAAAGGGTGATTGATAGACTAAAGAACGGCTGTCAAGGCTCGTGGACAGGGGAGTTGATTAAAAAAATCATATTGTGAATAATCAAACATTCAGATTAAGTAACTGTTATTCATTGGATGCAAAGGTTTGGAAAGAAAAACCTACCAAGACATCTACACTCACGTAGCCTACAGTATTTGATTCGTGGATTGGATCATGTCGGGTCGGCCCAGAACCACCTCCTTTGCAGAGAGCTGCAAACCAGTGCCGCAGCCCTCGGCTTTTGGCTCTATGAAAGTCAGCAGTAAGTCTACCATTTTTAATAATCTAACTAACTTGCCTGCCTTGCGAATAAAACCGATTTAAACTAACCTAGTAGTTGTCACCTTGTTAAGCACATTGAGTCGATGCTAGGTCTGAAAGGACAGGCAGGCTTTTCCTTCAGTGTGTCACTGGCAGAGATTCTCAGGCGTAGTGACACCCTGGTGTCTGTGGTGAGGGACCACGGACGGGAGGGGGAGGGGAGGGGAGGGGAGGGGAGGGGAGGGGGGGGGGGGGGGTCAAATCTGATTCGCCTCAACATTTGCAGATTTTTCAAGGTGTCTATTCCATCAGATCACCAGATTTATGATAGCCAATTACTGATCTCTCCAGAGCGAAGCAGCACCAGGATAAAGTGACTAAGCAGGCAGTTGAAATTGCAAGGGTCAAGGGTGTTTCTAGGATTTGAAAGATATTGGGAGTTTAGCCCAATGCCAGTAGGGGTGTCGAGGGGCAGTCTCCTCCAGCAAAAAAAAACAAAAAGGAATTTCAACAGCTAAATGCATGAATGTGGTGCACTTTGAGATTAACATTGCATGGAATAGCCTTCATTTCTCAGAACAAGAGGAGACTGACGAGTTTCAGAAGAAAGTTTTGTTTCTTTCTGGCCATTTTGAGCCTGTAATCGAACCCACAATTGCTGATGCTCCAGATACTCAACTAGTCTCAAGAATGCCAGTTTTATTGCTTCTTTAATCAGCACAACAGTTTTCAGCTGTGCTAACATAATTGCAAAATGTTTTTCTAATGATCAATTAGCCTTTTAAAATGATAAACTTGGATTAGCAAACACAACGTGCCATTTGAACACAGGACTGACTGATGGTTGCTGATAATGGGCCTCTGTACGCCAATGTAGATATTCCATAAAAAAATCTGCTGTTTCCAGCGACAATAGCCATTTACAACATTAACAATGTCTACACTGTATTTCTGATCAATTTGATGTTATTTTAGTGGACAAAAATTGAAAAGAAGGACATTTCTATGTGACCCCAAACTTTTGAACAGGTGTGTGTGTGTGTGTGTGTATATACAGTGGGGAGAACAAGTATTTGATACACTGCCGATTTTGCAGGTTTTCCTACTTACAAAGCATGTAGAGGTCTGTCATTTTTATCATAGGTACACTTCAACTATGAGAGACGG